TTACAACATGACTATACAATGTTATTTTAAACTCTATTTCACAATCTCTATAATTGCTTCATTATATAAAATGTACTGTTCTCTGAACTAATGAAGAAAATTTGCATTTTTATATTTATGTGATGAAATTCAATGGAAATATTTTTAAAAACTGAAATCTAGACATAAAACTTAGATGTCTGGATACTAACACAGTTTTCAAAAGCTTTAAATCATGAAAATGTTACTTGTCTTCCTACTATATGTTTAATCACATACTCTAGTCAGACCTCAACCCAGCTTCCCTTTCCTTACTACCTTTTTTTAAAACAAAAAAGCACAGTGATAAATGTTTTCTCATTTTAATCAAAGACTGGTTAAATTATTAGTAAAAGTTAGTCTTTACGCACTAAAAACTCTATTCAAAATACTTTGAGCCCTAGCTGGTTTGGCTCAGTGGGTAAAGTGTCTACCTGTGGACTAAAGGGTCCCAGGTTTGATTCTGGCCAAGGACACATGCCCGGGTTGCGGGCTCAATCCCCAGTAGGGGGTGTGCAGGAGACAGCCAATCAGTGATTCTCTCTCATCATTGATGTTTCAATCTCTCTTCCCCTCTTTCTTCCTCTCTGAAGTAAAAAAAAAGTATATTTAAAATACTTTGATAATATTAGGTTCACAAATTAATGAACAGCATGAAATCATATTTTTTAGTGAAATCACCAGATAGCTAGTTCAAACAAAAGAGAGAATGTGAAGCTGATTTTACTTCTCTTCAGTTGTGTATATTTTAAGGTATAAGAAAACCAGATTTCCTCTAGAGAGGGAAAAATGGAATAGGCAGATTGCAGCATTAGAATAAACATCATATTGAGAAAATAAAAAATAATATTCTTTGTCACTATTTTTTAAAGCAATTTTAATTAAAGTCATTTTGGGCTGAATTTTTAGAATTTATTATATAAACAGACCATATTTGTGTATTATGCTTTGTAGATTCAGTCTAGAACTATCATGAGTTTCATTAGAGTTCTTATCTATAATAATAAAAGAGTAATGTGCTAATTAGACCAAATGTCCTTCTGGATGTCATTCCAGATGTCCTTCCAGGCGATGCCGGGGGCAGAGGGAAGTAGGGTCCTGGGTGTCAGAGGGAAGCTGGTGCCTGCAGCTGGGGGAAAGAAGGCCTACTCCTGCACAAATTTCGTGCATCGGGCTTCTAGTAGAAAGATAATTGGCTTGAAGTGAAGAAATGAAATGCTATATTCTGTGTGTGTGTGTGTGTGTGTGTGTGTGTGTGTGTTTAGTTAAAAAAGTTAACTAAACAAGTTAACTAAAAAAGTTAATTTTACAGTTAATGATTCAAGGATATTATCAAACATTTACAAGCAATTATAATAATAATTCAGTTTCCTATTCCCCATCATGACAGGTGCCTCAAAAATTTAGAAGGCATATAAAAATTACCAATCTATTTTTCAAAATTTGTGAGGTTTGGGGAGTTTTCTTTTGAGCAAGTATTACAACTCAAATGGCTTAAATTTTAAATAGCCTAAAAACTTTGATATTTTAAAATAAACAATCAACTGATCACATATCAATTCTAATGTAACACCCAAATATTTTTAATGAATGATTATTGCAATAAATTTAGAAATGTTCCCATGGCAGCAAGTTCGAAGCCAATGATTCAAAATCAAATTAATGTACCAAAAGAAAACAATCCCAAACCATGAAATAATATAAAATAATAATGAAGCTAAAATTATCAAGGTGGTTTTAATATTTTTGAATTCTCCTTCTGCATTCTTATTAAATCTTTATGGACATCTCCTCTCCTGGATTTAATAAGACTGTGTGACTCATGAGACAGAGCTAATGGTGTCTCTCACAAATAACAATATAGAGGAGCACGCTGTAAAACACAACTCCCTGCTTTTGTTCTTTGGTCACTTACATTGCTTTGACAAGGATGATTCAATACAAAAGAAAATCCTGCAAAAGAAAATCCAACATAGAAAACCCATCCCAAATGATAACACTGCCCGGCTGGTAGTCTTGAAAATGTAAGAGCTGGTACGAATGCAACGTGGAATGTGTCTATTTGCAGTTTGCAGCTGATCTGAGACAGCTTCCTTGCATTTGCCTGTTTCTCCTGACCATGATAGAAGTGCCATCCTATACTTGATTAACTAGATAATTATGTCCTGACTTGAACTAGGTGGGTGTTTTTTTTTTAATGCTCCATGATTTTCTGTTTTCACCACTGGTAGGAGTTTTCTCTTTCTACGTTTTAAGATGATCAAGTATAAACATATATGTGCACATTAAAGAGTAGTAACAAAAGGAATAATTTCACACTATGACCCCTATGTCCATTTTCCCTACTGCCTCCTCGCTCTCGTCATCACTTTCTTTCCCTTTGAATTAAGCACCATCACGAATTTTGTATTTACCATTCCCTTTCTTTCCTTTACATTTTTTCCATCCATGCAAGTATTTCTAAACAGCACGTGTTTTCAAATTTTCCCAGTTGTGAAATGTAATTAAATGCAGTAAAACTAGAGCATTCCTCTATGACTTGCCTCTTTTCATCAATATTATGCTTTTGACATTCATCCATGTTGATGTTAATAGCTGAATTCATTTCCCCAACTGTATAGTAAGTATCCCAAGGTGTAAGTGTATCCAGTAGGTGGATATTTCAGCTATTTCCAGTTTGAGATTATTATGAAAAGTATTGCTGTAAATAATCCTGTGTGTAACTTCTGCTACACGTGCACAAATACTTCCCTGGAGCAAATGCCTAGGAGAGCGATTGCTGGGTGGTAGAAAAGGCATAAAGTGAACCTTGCTGGTTAATGCCAAGGACATTATACCATTTACACTCCCGCCAGCCGTGTGTGAGGTTTGCTTCAGCACCATAACCTCACCAACAGTGGCACTGTCAGACTTTTGAAGTTGTGCCACACTCGTAGCAAAAAGAATATTACTATTTGCAAAAAAAAAAATTGTTCTCCAAGTCAATTATAAATTTATAGTTTTACTAGAGGCCCGATGCATGAAATTCGTGCAAGGGCCTCGGCCCTCGCAGCCCTGGCTTCATCCGGAAGGTCGTTCATCTAGTCTAATTAGCATATTACACTTTTAGTATTATAGATAGTGTTATCTTTGACATTTAACCCATCCAGAATTGCTTTATGTGCAGACTCATGAACTAGGTATTTAATTTTAATATTTTTTTACGTGGATAACCAATTATCCCAAACCATTTATTGAATAGCCCATCCTTTGATAAAAGTCACCATTGTCATTTATCAAATCCTCTTTTTCTGTGATGTACTGAAGTCTCATTAAGAGATCTTTAGTTTTGGGGTTCCTGATTTATCTTTTGTAGAATTCTTTAGAACTACTGTGTCTGAGAATTGATTAATGTCTTTTAATAGTTCAAATTTTTTTTTCTTTTTGCATTGCCTATATTAAGTCCATTTGGAACCTCAATTGGACATATATTACATCTTCTCACTCCCCCATGACTCCTTCATATTTTACATTTTATAGTCTCTGATTCATATTTTACCATTTTTAAGTCTCAGAACTTAATATGGATAACTTCTTCAGTTCTAACTTTAAGTGTACTAGTTTTTGCTTCAGCTATGTCTAATCTGCTTTTAAATTCATCCACTGAGCTTTTTAAAAAAATATTATATTGACTCCATACAAGTTCTCTGGTTCTTTTTCAAATCTACTGTTTCTGCCTCACATTTTAAAACTTCACTTTTATTCCTTTAATTATATTAAATATTGTAATTTTTATTCTGCCTGAAAATTGTGATATTTGAGAACACTCCAGGTCTGTTTTTCTCATCTTATCTATAGTGCTTTGTTTTCCAGAGTGAATGTGTGTGTTTTTGCTTATTTATTTTATTTTGTTTCATTTTGAATATCAGCCACTGATTTTCCAGAGAATGTTATCTGTGGAAAGACTCTGAAGATGAGATTGAAGTTGTCTTCCTCCAGAGAGGAAATACTATTTTCTACTCTCACTGTTAATGACAGAGCACTTCATTTAAGTTCACCACTTAAATTTTGTTCAATCTGTAGCCACGTGTGATTGGCACATTTCTCTCTTTCTATAACTTCGGTGTTGTTGCTTAGTAATCTTTAAACAACATTTAAAAAAACGGTTAACCCTGCATTTTAATAATTCCATCAGAAGGGACACTCAGGGACTAATTTGCTATAAAGCCAGAACTAGAAATGTACTCATATTTTAAGACTTTATTTTCTCTAATTTTTTTTAACTCATAGTTAGTGAGCTGTTATAAAGGGGCTGCCTTAAATTCAAGGTTACATCTCCGAATGCAAGATTTCTGGTTTCTAAGGACTCAGAACAACAACACATTTGGGATCCACCGGATTCTGGCAAAATGATAGCTACGTGACCTAATCCATTCTCACAGGTAGTTATCAGACTGCAGGGAGCCATCAGTACCACAAAGCGCACAGCTCACCAAAGGTTACATTTTCCATTTTTAAAGTTTCCTCAGTTACTGGGCTCCAATCTTCAAGCTCTGTCACATAAAAATTGCAGAAGGATCCCTGAGGCCTGAGGCTGCATGAGGGATAGCTGTACACTACTCACAGGAAGTTGCCCAGGTCCATTTTCTTACTTTTTTTGTTCCTCACTTTTTGGACTATTTCTCTGACTCATTCTGACCATCATTCATGCATGGATTTGGTAACCTGGTCACTGAAAACAAGTTCTTCCCTTTGATCTAATCCTTTAGCTCCTTTGTTCCCCCTCCATGGTAATTTGCCTTCCACACACCTTCTCCTGTTTTAGACCGCATTCCATTTGTTCTGGCCCTGGCTCTATGAGTCACCTCTAGCTATCCCTCATCTTCCTTGAGCACGCGACTTATCTAGATCTGTGTTACAGTACGTAGGATGCAGAAGGGAATGTCTTGCTCCCTTCAGTTAAGCACGCACTACTACTCAAAGCGTTGTGTTGAGAGAGCTACCTGGATGGGCCTCCCGTCAGGTGTCAGCACCTCTTCTGAAAGCTCCATCATCTTCAGGGCCATGAGCGCAATGGGCTTCGCATGGCAGAGGCTTTTCCTGTGCAGGCCTGCAGCGACACAGTATGCGTCACCTATTGTTTCCACCTGCAGCAATCAGACAAATCAAATGCAAACATGTGATAAACGGCCGGAATAGAAATGATTAGTTATCTGCAATCACAAATGCTGCTGAAAAGCATGTCAGCAAAACACCGGCAAATTAAGCAATTAGGCCACTGAGAACAATCAGAGCCGAGTTTGCAAACAGCCTCAGTCAAATGCTGGCATCTCACGCCAGGGCTGCTCATCAACAGTATCACTATGGATGATCCCTGAAACCAAGAACAACTGGAACATAAAATAATATGCTCTGCAAAAAAAGAATTGTCAGTATTTTATCCAGGCAGTTTCTAAACAATGACCTTTTCCAAAGCCGCCTGCTCATCTTCCTCAAACCTTCAATAGTGGCTATATTTGAGATGAGTAATTCCTGTGCACAATCCCATGCAGAGTCCCATCATTAAAGAGTTAACAGGCACTGTGAGAGTCTCTCTGAACCTGTTCTAATTCTGTTGTCAGCATCCATTCTGAATTGCCATTGCTTTTGTTCAATATTTTAAATATTGACCCCAGGTTAAAATTCCCAAATTTCCAAAGCATAGAATAGGCATAAAAATTGGGGCACAGCTTATTTTCAGAGGAAAGTTCACTAGTTATCCAAAGTAAATACGATGGTAAAATCTTCAAGTGTTCTAATATTTTAATTAGAGAAAAGAGATGAAATATTGTATAAAATGCTCAATTCCAATATCATATTTTCTCTGTAGCCCTCCATGGCCCTCTATTAGTTTCCTAGTGGAACAAATCCTTTCTTCTATTCTGTTTTAGCACTTTCCACACCACTTAGCTATAGTTTTAATCATAGGCTATAATCAACATCTATCTATGTATAATTAATATATACTCCTGGTTATGATGTAAGCTCTTTAAAAATGCAATATCTGTATTTTTATCTTTATATTCACAGGGATTATATGGTGTTAAAATGTAGATATTTAACAAATATCTACCAAATGAATAAATTAATCTACCATGTTTACCATGATTATAACAGACATTCTAATTGTTTTCTCATTTCACTTTTTTTCCCCATCAGAGTCATGTAGATCTGCGTAGGAAAAAATGCCTTTAAATGACCAGACATGCTTTATCTTAAATATACCAAGAATTATAAGATATTCTATTAGTTAAGACTTAATAGCCATAATTAAATTTCACGTGAATGTATTCTAATACTATAGATGTATTAAAAGATGTACTGTACTACATTAAATTCTGTGACCATTAACTTAGACAATATGATGAGAAAACTTAAGAAGCCTAAGAAGCCAAAATTATCACTTGCTTATCAGAATCTTATCAGGAAATACACATTAAAAAGTGATTCCAGTACCCTCAGGCCTATCATGAACTTCAAAATTTTTATTTCAAGATCTGTTTTCTGGTGCCAGAAAAATGGAAATAAAATCATATAAGAACAGAAAGAAAATGCAATGTGAATTGGCAAAGTGTTTATTCCTAAGAGTAGAATATACTACCCCCAAAGAATCTCCACTCAGAAAGACACCCAGCAAATAATAAACGTTAATATGTGGCCATTTATTATTTCTTCCTTAGAAACACAAAACCTTTTGCTAATTCTCACATTTATCTCGTCCTTTTGTATTTCTACACAATTTTAAAATCTAGAACACTGTTAGCTATGTACTTTGAAACTAGCTTCTGATTTCTGGATATTAGAACACATAGTCAATTTATTTGTATAAACTGAATTGTGTCACAGTCACTCTGTGCATATGTGTTCCTGGAGCATGATCTCTTCCTGAAATCCCAACTGTCATCATTTTCCTCAGTAGCATCATCTCCATTATCTTTTCAGCAAAAGTTTATTGAGTACCACTAAATGTGCATTTCCAGAAATTATACCAAAAGAGTAAGGATTAGTTATATGTTGCACTTACTCCATAGGAGTATCCTATATAATAAAATCCTAATATGCAAATAGACAGTATAGTGGAACAACCGGTTGCTATGATGCGCACTGACCACCAGGAGGAAGACACTTAATGCAGGAGCTGCCCCCTAGTGGTCAGTGCACTCCTACGGGGGAGTGCCACTCAGCCAGAAGCCGGGGCTGACAGCTGGCGAGTGCAGCAGCGGTGGCAGGAGCCTCTCCCACCTCCTCAGCAGCGCTAAGGAGTCCATCTGACCGCTTATCCTCCAAGGGGTCCCGGACTGTGAGAGGGCACAGGCTGGGCTGAAGGACCCCCCTCCAAGTGCACAAATGCCGTGCACCGGGCCTCTACTGTAGCATAATAGTGCAGATAAGATGAACCAATATGTTACTAATTGATACAAAACATAAATCTAATGAAGTAGAAGATAAATATGTGCACAACATAAATATAACAAATTCTCATTTAAACTCATACATATCGTGTAAGATGTTATAGCTTTAAGTTCCCAAATAGTTGAAGTCAGAATAGCAACCAGAAATAACAGGATCAAGAAAGAGTCAATAAATGGACACAAAAAAGAATGGCCCTTAGTAAAATGTAACATTCTTACAATTATTCATAAACACCCAAAATAAAATTTAAAAAAATCTAAAAGATGTGTCCACCATACTAGGCTAGACTGTGCTGCATTAACAAAATAACCTCCAAACCTGAATTCCCTAAAATAACAAGGGTTTGTTTCTGATTCGTGCTACATATTCATGTGGGTTAAAAGCCTGGGGCAGAGGAGAGAAAGACCTTGCTATGTCTCTTCACTCAGGGACAAGGCTAACAGCACCTCCTCACCCGGAGCTGGTTGTCATGACAGAGGAAAGGAAGCTCTGACAAATTATACGCCAGCTTTTAAAGCTGTGCCCAGATGTGACATATATAGCTTCTTCTTAAGATTTATTCACTGAAGAAAGTCACACGGCTGTATGCTTAACATAAAGAGGATGGGAAAATGCTACCAATCTTGTGCCCATAGAAGAGCCAGTAACATTTGGCAAATAGCACTAGTGAATAATGAGTGAATAGGGAATAGTTTAAAAGTTTTTCATATACACAGGTGTCTGTAAAGAACAGGCAGTATATCTTGTGTGATGTTTTTCTTTCCTTGCAGATATATTCAGCATCTTAACCTGAAAATCTTGGCTGACATACTACCGTCTTAGTAATGCAGCGCACAGGCAAAGCTCCGTGCTTTGCTCTAAAAACACATCACTATACATGTTCAGCAGAATTAAGTATATGTGAAAATTCTAGTGGCTTCTACTCGAAATCATTAGTTGACTTTGCCTCATGAGGAGTTGCTGAAGTGAAAGCATTATGTATCAATTACAGTTGATCTTGAGGATGTTCCCTTGAGTTAAACCAAAGTAAAACAAATGGAAATTGTGAACATACTACAAAAAAAGCTGCCATAAAGTTGACTATGTTTTGAATTCCTTTATAATTGCATCAGTGTTTTTAAAATAAAATTTTAAATACAATGGATCACCTAAAATAGTGCATTTTCTTTATTTTCAGCATCTCCAACCTGCTCTTAAATAAGAACAAAAATAAAGATGGCTAAACTATGCATGGAGATGGAAAAGACAGTGCTATGCAAATGTCTGCAAACTTTATATTCTTTTCTGAACATAGAAAAGGAGGTATAAATACTAAAAATATTATGTACAAATGTTGTCCCACAATTACTTTTATCGCTGTCTTTATCAAACTTTAAAGAAGTGGCCTATCTCAATATATCTTCTTCTCAATCCCTTATTGTCAAAATTCTCTCATTTCAGAAATAAGCTTTTTAAAAATTTTTTAAAAAATATATCACATTGATTTCTTTACAGAGAGTCAGGGATAGTGAAAGAGAGTTAGAAACATAGTTCAGCTGCCTCCTGCACAGCTCCTACTGGGGATGTGTCCACAACCAAGGTATATGCCCTTGTCTGGAATCCATCCTGGGACCTTTCAGTCCGCAGGCCGACACTCTGTCCACTTAGCCAAACTGATTAAGGCAGAAACAAACTTCTTATGTATTCACTCTGTTTATCTACTTTAGTTTTATTTATTTATTTATTTTTATTTTTATTTTTATTGTTGAAAGTATTACATATGTCCCCTTTCTCCCCCATTGACCTCACCACCCCATCCCACCCCCAGGCCTTCACCACTCTATTGTCTGTGTCCATGGGTCATGCCGTATAAGCATATGAGTTCATTGTTTGATCTTTTCCCTCCTCCCTTCCCACATTCTCATGCCTTCCCTCTGAGGTTTGACTGTCTGTTCGATGTTCCTATATCTCTGGGTCTATTTATGTTCATCAGTTTACGTTGTTCATTAGAGTCCACATATGAGTGACATCATGTGATACTTATCTTTCTCTGACTGGCTTATTTCTCTTAGCATAATTCTCTCTGGTCCATGCATATTTTGCAAATGATAAGAGTTCTTTCTTTTTTACAGCTGCATAGTATTCCATTGTGTAGATGTACCACAGTTTTTTAATCTACTTATTTGCTGATGGGCACTTAGGCTGTTTCCAAATATTAGCTATTGTAAATTGCCCTATTAAAATAGCAATGTCATATTTCACAGACCTAGAACAAATACTCCAAAAATTTATATGGAATCAAAAAATACCTCGAATAGCCACAGCAATCTTGTAGCCTGTCCTGAGATATCTGAACTCTTTCACTCCTAGTTGATATGAACCTCAGGAAATCTGCATGGTAGCCAATAAGCATGGTTTTGGAGGGTTTATTCCAAAAGGTGGTGTCCCAGAATGTGGGTACATTTTAATTGATGAATCTTGTACCCTCACTCAAGTGCCACTGCATTTGCCCAAACGTGGATTCCCGCTGGAGGAGGGCCCTGCCAGCCTGAGTATTCACTGTCCCTAAATCCAGACTGAAGAAAGTCCTTGAAGGCATCATATCCACTGGCCACAGCCTTACCACCTCCTTTACCTCTAACACTTTATTTTCTTTCACAACTTCTATTCCTCTCCCCATGGACATCATTCCATCATCTTTACTTGTACCTCCTCC